CTAGACTGCCCCCGACAGAGCTCCCCCCCCCCCCCACCGCCCCGTCCCCGCTAGGGAGTCGCGGATTCAGAAGCTATTTCCTGAGGCCGCCTTATGGCTACAAATAGTTTCCTTTATGTGACAACTTACCCGGACTGTCTCTACCTGTCCTCCACCGAGGAGCGCAAACTCCTGCTTAGTCAGGTCGTCGCACACGCTCCCCGAATCCCAGGCCTCCCCCCTGCCCTCCCCCAGCCTCCCTTCTCCGTTCCAACCGCCCAGGACCCAGGTGCGGACCCCTGGGGATGGGGACACCCCGCCGCGGCCGCTTCCACCTAGGTCCGGCTGGTCCCATCCGCCCCGCCGGCCCGCGCACTCACCATCTTGGGGCCCTGCTCCACGCCCTCGGAGCTTCCTCCTCCGACGCCCACACCCGCGCCCGGGGCAGCACCGGATCCAAGGGCGCCAAAGGCTCCGGCTGAGAGCCGCACCCCCCGGACTCTCACTCGGGCCTGGTAGGGTAGCTTACACGGCCCGGGCCCTGATTGGACGTTGCTTCAATCCCTGCGACCTGATTGGATGCTGTCCCGAAGACACCACCCCGAACCAGATTGGACATTACCTACCGCGCTTCCGCCCCGTGAGAGGACAGTCTGGGGCCTTCACGTTCTGATTGGAAGATAATCCTGACACCACCTCTGCCGTCACAGATTGGGCTGAACGCCCAGGCCCCGCCTTCTCCACTTTGAGTGACAGGTTGGAGGCACACACGTGGTTCATCCTCCGGCCGGGAGGTGGGCTCCCAGTCCAATGTGCTCTGGGCGGGGTCTCCTGCCTGCCTCCTCCTTTTCGGTCGCGCATTCCACTCAGTTTCTCTGTGGATACTCCCTTGTCCGGCGTGGGATCGGGACGTGACAGAACAGAAGGGCCCGTGGTCTACACGTGGTCACTATGTTTTTTTTTTTTTTTTTCTTCCAACGTTTATTTATTTTTAGGACAGAGAGAGACAGAGCATGAACGGGGGAGGGGCAGAGAGAGAGGGAGACACAGAATCGGAAACAGGCTCCAGGCTCTGAGCCATCAGCCCAGGGCCTGACGCGGGGCTCGAACTCCCGGACCGCGAGATCGTGACCTGGCTGAAGTCGGACGCTTAACCGACTGCGCCACCCAGGCGCCCCGTGGTCACTGTGTTTAAGAATAGCTCACTGACCGGTGACCTCATCGCACGGGAGCCAGGTCCACCTGTGTTTGGAGCTGACATTTGACACCGTGAGTGCCCACCCTCTGACCCAACCTCCACTTCTCAGTCCTCAGGCCAATCAAAAGCGCCCTGTGTCTTCAGCCACCGTGAGACGTGGGGTCCCGCGGTCCCAGCCGGGCACAGCCACAGATGTGACACGTTACAGCACTCAGGTGTGCGCTATATTCTGCAAGGAAAGTCACGGCGGATCCAGTTTGTAATCAGTCCCTGTGGATGTGGAACGTAAAAGCTCCACATCCTTCTTCAGGTCGTGGGTTGATGTGGGACAGCTCTGGGAACACGCGAGGGGAGGGGAGGGGAGGGGAGGGAAGAACACTGAGTTTTACTCTTAAAAGTGTGAGCACAGGAGCACCTGGGCAACTCAGTCGCTTGAGCCAAGGACTTCAGCTCAGCTCATGAGCTCCTGGTTAGTGAGTTGGAGCCCAATATTGGGCTTACTGCTGTCAGTATATTGTCCGTTTCAGATCTGTCCCCATCTCTCCCTGCCCCTACCCCTGCTCCCTCTCTCAAAATAAATAAACATTTAAAAACATGTGTGAGTCCCATGGTATGCGACTTATGTCTCCATTTTCCTAAGCAAATTTAAAGGCCACAATAGCCAGGAAATCATGCCTCCTGGGCACTGTTGAAATACTTCGTGTCTCTGCGGATTTGCCCACTCTGCCTATTTAACGTAAGTGACTCACAGCATGTGGCCTGTGTGGCTGGTGTCTTCCACGTGGTATAACACTGTCACCATACGTTCACGTGCATGATGTGTCTGTCCTTCATTCCTGTCTGGGGCTGAATCACCGTCCGTCCTGTGTCTATGCCGCATCCCGTTCATCCATCCACGCACTGGGGGACACTTGGGACGTTTCCCTCTTTTGCGGGGAACGCACAGTTTTGCACCTGGCATTCGTGTGCACACATCTGAGTGTTCCAGTTTATGTAGGCCTGGAACACTTGGGTCACACTGCCATTCTGTGTTTCACTTCTTGAGGAGCCACCAAACTTTTTCCACATCAGCTGTCCTAGTTTATACTCCCACCAGTGTAGCTACCAGGGTAGCGAGGTTTTGCTCTCTCTTGGAGGCACAGAAATACACTGGACAGTCGTGCCCCAGGGACTGACGGTCTTCCTGTCGTTTCACAAACCACTAAAGCTGATCTGGAGGAGAGTCTTCCGTATCTCTACTTAGTTACAGTAGGCAGGTAGTTTCATTGTCTGCTTCCCCCCAGTGGAAGACATCATGTACCTGTTGCCACTTTTGGCTTTAAAGGGACATAAAGCCTCAAAAATCTGCAGTTTGCTCAAACTCAGGACCAATACTTAGGGCACTTGATCGTGGAACCAGACCTCATTTGGATCCAAAGAAAACCCCTCATGACTGCTTAATGCTGACACATCCCCTTTTGACTCCCCATGGCAATTTACATGCCACTCCTCTAAACAGTAAAGATTTTGCATAGTTTACTGATGGGGCTTTTAAAAAAAGATCAAACTGGTAAATATTAACTTGCGTGTACTATTGCAAATCCTTTTTTTTCTTTAAAGATTTTATTTTATTATCATTGGTTTTAACGTTATCTCTACACCCAGTGTGGAGTCAAAATCCAAAAGTCCAAGACCAAAAGTTGCACGCTCCACTGAATGAGCCTGCCAAATGCCCTGTAAATCCTCTTGAAAGTACTGAGGAAACAATACTTTTCCCTTTGACATCCAACCCACCAGGATAGTTACATATGCTTACTTGGCCATATACCTTAGTGAAGGGTAAAACCAAAACCATTTACTCCCATAGTTTGAATGCCTTTGGGGTACCTAGGAACTGTGGAATACTATGGAAACAATGAGGTGTTTTTATCTCCAGTGGGGGGATAAAACGGAAAAGGCTCCTGTGTCCAAAATTTACAAGATACCATATTTTGACCGACTGATCTGTCTGATATTAAGGGTACTGGTCTTTCCAGACTTTACCTCCTGGGGGCCAGAGGAAAGCACCCCACTGTATTTCCACCACGATCACTGTTCATGGAAAAAAAAAAACAAACAAAAACAGGCAAATCTGAGTCATGGTCCAAAGGGATGTTCTTCCAGGTCATAATTGGGAACAAAACTGACCAAAGATACCAAGAATCAGTGTCCGAACACATTAACCAATATTGGGATTTTAACAAATATCCGTTAAATAAAGAGATAACTGAACTGGAAATGTATCTTTCAATAATAAAGACCGAAAGTACACACAGAATTGAAAAATTCCAGTATCCGCAACAGCGAACAGAAATGAACTTTCAATAAGACAAGTCTGGTGTCATGATCATATAGTAGCCATATTCTGGAATGTATAATTCATGAAATTTTTCTCTAAAATTATATAAAGTTGCATGTACACCTCCCCTCAACAGACACTTTCCTATCACCTCAGGGTCCAAGAGACATTGTAATGGAAAACAGATATTTTTATATAACCATATGATTACTTCAAGTCTGAGATAACAACATCTACATCCTACAGATGTAGAGGACAAAGAAGGACACTTAAAACCATCAGTGTTCATATCAGTGACATGAACTAGGAATCCATACATGTGGAAGCCCTATTAAGGAAAAGGCACCTGGAAACTCAAAGCCATATTCCCAACAATGAACAGATTTTTGTCCCACCTGAATTTTCATGAACAAAATACATGAAGTTCTATACCTGGAGTTTTCCCAAAATTGTGTGCATTCAGGATCATCTCCAATGTATTGGCTCACATTTTAATTAAGATTTTAAGAGAAAAGAAGAAAAATAAATAAGATTTTAAGGGAGAATAAATGCTTTCCCACAGCATGTCTGTGCTCAAAGATTCCTGGGATACCTGAAGGCTTTTCCGTGGTGCTTAAGTTCATAAGGTTTCATGTCACTGTGCTCGCATGTGTGTCCTCGAAAGGAAGAGAGACAAGTGAAGACTTTCCCACAGTGTGGTCGTTCATAGTGTTTCTCCTGAGCATGTGTTCTCACATGTTTTCTCAGGCTTGACTTATACCTGAAGGCGCTCCCACACTCTTAACACTGATAGGAGTCTCTCCCCAGTGTGAGTTCTCACATAACGTGTAAGGTAGCAGTGATACATAAAGGTTTTCCCACAAACGTCACACTCATGGACTTTCTGTCCACAGCGAACTGACACATGACCCTAAAAGGAAGACGTGCGAGTGAAAGCTTTTCCACATTTCTTGCACTCTAGAGATTTTTCACTACTGAGACTCTTCGCGTTTGTGTCAGATGCTCTCCCAGCGTCCTGACCTTCACAGGATCTCTCTACAAGGTCTACATCCACGTGAGTGCTGAGGCTCGAGACAGAGCTACAGCCCAGCCCACATTCCTCACAGGGACTACGTTTGAGCCCTGGGTGAGAGCTTCACGTCTTCTCTAGGAAGGAACCATCTGCGAAGGCTTCTCTACACTTAGTGCATGCTTTGCCTGCAGTAGGACACCCCTCATGCACAGTAAGACTTGTAATCGGGTTCAGGGTTTCTCTACGTTGATCTCCTTCATTCAAAACGTTCACAGACACTCTCCACCAAAAGACTTCTGTTCAAAATAGGAAGGCACGTTGTCAGGGAATAATGATTATAAGTGATCTCTTTATTAATAAATGATGTATCGATGCTTGTTAATTATTATTGGACTACATAATGTCCATTTTCAATGAATGGGTTCGTTTGTGGCACTGTCTGTATGGTTACAACGTGGAACAAGATTAATGCTTTGGCATGAATAACAGGCATGACTTTCTGGGTTTCTTACGTATAGTTTTTCTGACCATTATTTCCAACTGAATTGTTTTTCAGATGGTCAATACCTAGAATGCATTTATAAAAACACTGTCCTGTGAAAATCTGACTATACGATTGTTGAGCTGCGTTATTGCTGTTCTTAAATTTCAAGGTAGTCTCACAATCTCTCCGGATCCACACATTCCTCCTGTACAACTGTCACTCACCTCACACACCCTTCCTGGGTTTGGGTTTCAGCTCCACCGCTATGAAACTTCTGGTTTTCTCCAAAAGCAGAACAGGAATCGTTTACTGTAAATATTCCCGTTTCCTCTTCACTCAATAGCCTATTCTGCAAAGTGTTCCACGGAGTCTTTGATACACACGTTTTACCTTTACTGGGAGAAACTACAAGAATTGGGAGCCTAATTTAATTTCTTTGGAAATGACCTGGTGTGTAAGGGAAGAACATAGACCATATGCTGATTTCTATGCATACACTGATCCTGAAATGTAGATGACGTTCATCAGAAAGAATGGACACGTGACCAAAGAAAAATTCGGAAGGCCCTAGTGATTTGGGACTTTGGCAGTAATAGGAAAAGGGTACATAACGGCGGCCCGTTCACTCACAAGTACTTCCAAACAGATGGAGACTGGGGCGCCTGACCATTGGAAACTGTGGGTCAAGCAGCCAACTTCAGCTCTAGTCATGACCTCATGGTTCACGAGCTCCAGCCCTGTGTGGGCTCTGCACTGATGGCGTGGGGCC